GCCCCAAACCCGCGGACAAAGGCGGCTTTGAGGGACCCCACGGGGCCGGCCTTGCTTGGGCGGCCTCTGAAATGTGTGAAATTCGGCTTTTTGCCGGGCTTCTTCCTGAAGCGGAACTGTTCTCAGAGAAACATTCCCCTCCGCCGGCCCTAATGGCTTTTCTCTGTGCGCCCGCATTAATGAACGCGAGGCCCAGCCTAATCGGAGGGAAGCCATGCAAGTAATTGCTTGAATTTTTAATTCGGGGTTATGATAGGGGAATCAAAGTCACGCTGCAGCCGCCGAGGCCGCCGCGGTTCCGCGCCATTGACCGCTGCAATTTTCTTTTGATTTTTGCCCTCCCCTCTCCCCCACGGCCCAGGCACGGACCCCGCTGGGGGCCGGGACCCGCGGCTGCCCCCGTCCTGGGGAGAAAAGGGTCTGGGGTGGGCTCGGTGCGTGGCCGGGCTGGGGCCCTGCTGTGGTGTCCTGTGAACAAGTGTCCGAAGGGGTCTGCTCGCCTTGCACAGCCCCAGCTGTGCTTCCCCACGCTGCCCACGGGCCGCTGGGGTTTATTTTCCTTTTTCCATCGCGGCCACGCTCATCCTCATCCCAGGACCCCTGCCTGCCCAAAAGGGGCACCACCAGCGTGTGCCGAGGGGCTGGTGACACGGGCACGGCACAGCTGGGGGGGGCTCGGGGGCACCCAGGGACTGGGGCTCGGGGCTGGGGGGGCCCTCGGTGCTCCTCCGGCATCCCCCGGCGGAGGCACGGCGCCGTTGCTTTTGTTTTCCCAGCAAACAAGCCCTCCTCCCGCGCTGGTTCCAGCTCGCTTCCCTCCTCTTTGTCTTAAAATTAATAAAAAGTCAGCGGACGAGGGGCTGCTCGATAAAGCAGAATGGCACGCTCAAAATGTGTGCCCCGCGTGGGGACACAGCGCTGTGGGAAGCAAGGACGCCTCCCTGCCCGGCACGGGGTCCCAGGACCCTGCCGTGCCGGTGGGGCCGTGCCGAGGCCGGGCTGTGCCACGCACGCACCACGGGGCTGCTCGGCCACATTTGGGGCCAGGGCTCCTCTTGGGGAGCCTCTCGGACATGGGCTCAGCCTCGTGACCCCCTGTTTGGGGTTTGGGCCGCTGTTGTGGTGTTCTTTGTGCCGCGATTCCTCGGGAGATAGCATTGTTTGCTGTGACACGTAAGCCCGGTGACAATATGCAAGGGCTCTGGCACTGATTTCATTTGCACTGCTCCGAGCTCTCCTAGCTCGCCCCGGTTTCAATGTCTTTTTATAGCCCCGCAGAACTTGTTTTGCTGTACCAGTGAAGCATAACCCGAGTGTGGGCTGGGAGCTGCAGGGGACACGAGTGTAGTTTGGGATGGGTGCTCGGTCACGTTCGCACCCACCCGTGCCACCGAGGGTCCCCGCTCCCCCTGGGGGTGCTCAGATGCAGCACCCACCTCCAGCTCGAGCCCTGGGGAGGCTGTGGGAAGCCCCTGGGCTCCAAAAATGGGGGTCCCAGCCCCGGGGACCCCAAGAGAGGGCAGGGGGCACGTGGCCGGGCTGTGAGTGTGGCACAGCACAGGGGGATGCCGAGCAGTGCCGGGGGGGGGGGTGGCTGTCTGCGAGGAGCGCCGCTGTGCCCCCCTGAGAGCACCAAAGCCCCTGCGAAGGACAGGGGGGCGAAGCTGGATTATGAAAGTGTTTCTTTGCTTTGCTTTTGAGAAAAGGAGAACTTCAAAGGGGCCCATTTATCACCAGACAAAGAGAGTCGCGAGTTATTTGCAAAGCGTAAGGGAGAAGCATTAATTATGGGAGTGCAGACAAACGCTGCTGCCGCCTGTCCCCCTGCCCACCCCTCCGCCACCTCCCCGTGCCCACGGGCTCGCAGGCCGTGGCCCCTGCTGCCACCACGTCCCCAGCTCGTGCCTCGCCACCTCTCCACGGTGGCAGGCGGGGTCCCCGCTGCGAAGCACCTGCACGCGCTTGACCTGGGGCCTGGCTCAGCACCCCCTCGGCCACGTCTGCTCCCCTCGTCTGGCTTGGTGGCCTCAGGGGTTTGCTCTGTCCTGGGGACCACGAGCATGCAGCTGGTGGCCGGGCTGTGGCAGGGGACAGGGATGGGGAAGAGGACAGCAGGCAGGGCTCGGTGCGGAGCTGGGCACCCACCAGACCTCTCCGACTGAGCACGGTCCCCAAAAGGGAAGCGGGAGCACAGAGGTGGCTTCATCGGCCACCTGGGAGGGAGAGGATGAGGAGCAAGCACATTTACCTCCCAACCCAAAGCGCCAGCAGCCCTGGGTGCCCCTTGGAGGCTGGCAGCAGGGGTGGCAGTGCCTGTGCCACCGTCCCGGTGGCTGTCACCACCTCTCCACCACCCAGCGCCGGGCAGGGCGCACAGCTCTGCCTTTCATGTCTGAGCCCTCCCGAAACCACAGCTTCCCCTCGCCGCTGCGCGGGGATCAAACGCGGGTCATATTTAATAAAGGTGGGGATGGGAGAAGGCTACAAAACATTACGTCACCCTCGCTGTGGGGGAGGCGGAGGCAGGCAGGGAATGCGAAAATCTCGGCGCAAGTGGGGGCAGAGGAGAAAAAAATATCGGCGAGGGGACTTAATGGCCTTGTTTTGGTGGGAACTCTTTTGCCCACTGCCCACGAGGTCAGAGGCGGTGTGTCTGCACGCGCTCAGGCGTTAAATGAAACTGGAAGAAAAAATGAGAGGCATATACAAAATGCGTAAGCGCGTCCATGGCAGAATTCCCCCGGCGCCCCGTGAGTCACGGCGCTGCGCCCGGCTCGCCCGTCGTGTCGGAGAAATCCCCGCCCGGTGGCGCTGGGGATTGAGGATGGTCCTGGGGGCACAGCCCCCACGTCCCCAGGGTGCGTGGGCGAGGGTGGGCGCGGGGCAGTGCCGGGGGGACCATGAGATGTGGTCACAGGGAGCTGGGAGCAAAGTCCCCTGTGCCACAGCCCTGCCCACGCCCGACCCCGTGGGGCTTCAGGCTCCAGACTGGGAGCCTGGGAGGTGCTGCAAATGTTGGGGGAGCGGGTGGCGAGGCTGCCAGCCCCCCCAGGGCACCCTGAGCCTCCTGTGGCACACAGGCTGGCTGCCTGTGGGTGGTTTCAGGGGGCTCATGGGCATCCTGAAAAATGGTGTGCAGGATGGCGTGGAGGTGGCCACGGAGCCGGGCTGCAGCGGGGAGAGCTGTCCTCTGTTCCCAGCCCTGGTCAGCTCCACGTGAGAGCTCGGGGTGATGCTCACACCGGGCCAGTGCCTTCCCCTGGCTGGGAAACTATGTGCTCCCAGCCCCACGGGGCAGCCGGTGGCCCCCCGAGCCGTAATGACCACGATCTTCTGCTGAGAGGAGTTAATGAGCTGTGCCGGACAACGATGGGAACGGGCCGATTGCAATAAGGCTCCTGACACCGCTCGGAGGAGCTGGGCGTGGAGGAAGGGGGAAGAGCAATAGGGTGAGAGAGATGGACCAGAAAACAATATCCACTTCATTAGCCAGGTGCTTCCAAATGTGTGGAAATAGGACAAGGTCCAGGTCACCCACTGTGACAGAACATGATTATCATGCGATGCCATGAAGCTGTGCAAAGACCAAGTCAAAGCTCACTAGCCCACTTGAAAGAGATGAGGGGAGCTTCCCGGAGCCCGAGCCAGGCTGTTCCCAGGCTGGGTCGGGGTCGTGGGCAGGTGGGCACGGCCCTGGGTGCTCAGCACGGCTCCTCCACCGAGCCTTTGGCTGGGGGGCACCGGGTCTAAGCCCAAATCCTGGTGATGGGAGACCTGGCGGGTACCTCCCAGAGTGGGGTCAGTCTCCTAGTCCCCTGGTCCCTGCACCCCATAAAGCCAGGGAGGCTCCTGCAGTGGGGTGCTGAGCCCCTTGGAGCTGCCTGGAGCTGGGACGGGGCTTTTGGGGTCTTTTCAGCTCCCTTCCATAGCTGTGCTGGCGCCTGCGGAGAAACTCCACAGAGCCATGGCGCACACATCCACCAGCCACCTCCGAGGCACGCAGGGAGGTTCCTGCTCCATTTGGGGACACCCTTGACCCCCAGCCCTGCTGCCCCCAGCCCTTGGCTGCCAAGGTGCTGCGCTGCCCTCCTGGCCCCCGACTCCCACCCCCAGGCTGCTCCTGCACCTTTGGGGCCAAAACTGCCCCACGGCCTCGTCCCCTGGCGCACCAGAGCCAAAGGGACCAGGCTGACAGCACTTTGGTGGGGCCGGGGGTGACGGGGGGAGGTTTGGGACATTGCCTGGCCCCCCGTGGTGGGTCCAGGAGCCCTGCACATCGTGCTCGGTGGTGTGGTGCTGCCTCTCCTGCCCTCCCGTCTGCTTTGGGTTCGGTGAATTTGTTGAGTTTTTGGCACTGTGTTCACTGGGTGAGGGCAGCGCTTTGCGCTCAGGTCCCGGGGTTTGGGTTTCCCCCTCTGCCCACTCCCAGCCCTGCCCCCTGCTCCCCCCGCGGCTCTCAGGGCTCCGTGGGGGCTCCGTGTCCCCGAGCACCCCATCCCCGCACCGCCCCATTGCTAACCCGCCGCGGGTCCCCCCAAAAACCCCATCCGAAGGGCGGCGTGTCCGCACCCAGCCCCTCCTGCCGGCCGGCGGCACCCCGACGGGACCCCCGCGGCGGAGAGTCCTGGGGTCCCGCAGCCCGGGGGGAGCCCGCAGAGCCCCGGACGAGGACGGAGGGGGCCCGGGGCCGCCGTCGGGGCGTTGCGGAGCGCGGCCGGGGCCGCCCCGACGGAGGGCACGGGGCTCGGCACCCCGACGGCCGCCGGGGCTCCGGGCCTCCCGCTGCCGGCAGCGCCGTCGGGGCTCCCCGAGGCCGCTCCGCCGCCCTCCCCGCGGCCGCTCCGCTGCTCCTGGGCCTCCGTTTTTGCCTCTCCGGGCAAAGTCCGTCCCAACGCGGCCGATAAGGGCCGGGCCGAGCCGAGCCGGGCGCGGGGGCCGGGCCGCGACGGGCGGGCGGGCGGGGACGCGGGGTCCGGGCGGCGGCCGCCCCCGCTGCTGCCGGAGGAGAGGCCTCCCGGCGCTGATTTGCATAAGGTATATTGCCTAATGGAGGCCGGCATGGCTTGGTAGAGGGCGGCCGGGGCGGAGCGGAGCTGCGGCGGAGCGGCAGGTGCCGGGGGCAGCCGGGCCGGGCCGGGCCGGGCCGGGCCAAAAGCGGGGAGAGAGGCGGGAGCCCCCCCCCGGGAGCCCCCCGGGACCATGGTGTCCCAGCTGAGCGCCCTGCAGCGGGAGCTCCTGGGCGCCCTGCTCAGCTCCGGAGCCACCAAGGAGGGGCTGATCCGCGCCCTGGAGGACATGGTGCCCGCCGCCGGGTTCGGCGTCAAGCTGGAGAGCCTGCCCCTGTCCCCCGGCGGGCCCCCCGACGGCAAAGGCAGCCTACCCGCCGCTCGCCAACGGGCACGGCAAGGGCAAGCTGTCCGGCGACGAGGGCTCGGAGGACGGCGACGACTTCGACACGCCGCCCATCCTCCGCGAGCTGCAGACGCTCAACACCGAGGAGGCCGTGGAGCAGCGGGCGGAGGTGGAGAGGATGATCAGGTACCGCCGGGGGGGCGGGCGGGGCGGGGGCAGAGCGGGGACAGCGCGGGGACAGCGCGGGGACACCCCCGGGGACTCCTCGGGGACACCTCGGGGCAGCCGTCGGGTGGTCGCGGCCGCCCCGAGCGGCGGGGCCGGGGGTGCCCGGGGGTTCCGGGCTCCGTCCTGCGTCCGCGCCGTGAGATGCAACATAAACTGCAGCACGTGGAGCCCGGGGCGTTATTAATTTATTTCTATAAATCATCAACAGAAAGATACACAAAGGGCCGCGATTAGGGTGAGCGGAGAGGCGGGTTATTCATTGCCCGAGTTGTAAACCAGGCGGGGAGGGGGGAAGGAGGAAACCCCCAAACCCGACCCGGCACGGCTCGGGGATGCGGCTCCGGGTCGAGCCCAACCGAGCCGAGCTTTGCCAAGCCGTGCCTTGCTGAGCCGAGCCGTGCCGAGCCGTCGGGGCGCGGCGGAGCAGCCCCGGGCCCGTGGGGGCGCGGGCACGGAGGGTGCCGGAGGGGCGCAGCGGGGCTGTGCCGCTCGGGGCTGCCCCCTTTGCGCACCCGGGGCCGGTGGAACCGCGCTGGGAGCCCCGCGGGGCCGTCCCCGGCTCCCTCCCGTCCCCAGGGGTCCCGACGGGCAGCGTTGAGCCTTTCCCCCCGGGGGCTGTGCCGCCGTGTGCCCCTCCGCCAGCCCCCAATGCCCGGGTGTTTCAGGAGGGACCGGGACAGAGGCAGCGCTGTGGTGGGTGCTGGAGGTGCCGTGGGTGCCGTGCTCGGTGCTCAGGAGCCTGCCCCAGTATGAGGCAGCCCCCAGGTTTTGGGGACAGGGCTGGGTGGTGGCACCCGTGCCAGGGCTCCGCTTGGCCCCACAGGGTGCTGAGGGGCATGGCATTGCAGGGCTGTTCAGCTGGGTGCCCACCCACCCGGGCACCCACCCACCCGGGCACCCACCCACCCAGCCCTCCTGCGTGCCGCTGGGTGCTCTGCCTGTCCCCAATTCCCCTCCGCCTGCCGCTGTGCCCGGCCCTGGGGTGCCCGGGTGGCACCGGGGGCGCAGGGAGGGCTCTGCCCCGCGTCGCTGCTCTCCCACAGGTGTTCCTGTGCAAAGTTTGCCTTTGGTGCAAACAAGAGCAGGCACATGTCCCTGAGGAGCCTTTTGCAAAGAGCTTGTGTTTGCTCTAAGAGAGCCCTTTGTACTTGGAGAGGCAGCCAAGGTAGAGGCGTCGGGAGCCATCGCTTTCAGCCCCACGCCGGGGCGAAACCCCGCTCTGCTGCCACCCCGCAGCCCCAGCCTCCTGGCCCTGGCTTCGGCTCAGTCACGGGCTGTTCCCGTGCCCCTGGGGGTGCTCAGCCCCTGGTCTCATTTTGGGGACAGCGGCGTGCCCTGGGCTTGGCTGCCCACCTGCACCATGTTCGGTTTGGTGTCCCTACGGCCCGTTCAGGGGGCCCAAATGTCCTCAGCTCTGTGCCAGGGCAGCGCCGAGCCTGGCTCCTCGCAGAGCCTGGAGAGCGGTGCCGGGGGTGCAGAGCCCGGCTCCGGGGCGAGACGCCCCACGGCTCCCTCCCGGCCAGGCTCCAGCGGCCCTGCTGGGTGCACAGGGCAAGAGATCGATCCCTGCAGCACCCCAAAAAAATGGGGATGGTGCCGCAGGGGAACCGGGGGAGTCCCCCAGGTGGGGAGGCCAAAACCCTCTCCAAAACGTGCCCGGGGCAGAGGGGAAGGGGTGGCTGCGGACCCCCCGCCTCTGAGCTCTGCTCCGCGCTGTGTGCACAGGGAGATGCAGATTAGATAGATCACCGATGTAGGGAGCCGGGTTTATAATCCATGTGTATAAATTCTTGGCATATTTCTCCGAGGATGTTGAGTGTATTTACCTGTTTTCAAGGCTGACAAAGAGGGCGAGCAGGTGGGGGGTCCTGGGGAGAGGGACGGGCACGAGGTTGGGCTGGGAAGTGCTTGCCCTGGGTCGGTGTTCGCAGCCGGGCTTCGTCCTGGTTAATTCTGGGCAGGAAAAAAAAAAAAAAAAGCCTCTCCTTGATGCCAGGGGCAGCACGGGGTGGAGAAGGGCTGAGGGGCGAGGGCTACGAACTGCTGCTCCGGTATTACCGAGCGCTTCTGGGTCGGTGTTTTTCCTGCATGTAAAGTCCTGATGAAGATTAGGCAATTAACGAGGTTTTCATTTTGGTGACAGAACAACAAAAAAAAAAAAGGGGTTGTGTTGAATCAAAATGTTTTCCTCTCTGCCTTTTTAGGTTAACCGAAAAAAAAAAAAAAAAGGGAAAAGAGGCAAACAAACACTCAAACGTTTCATTTTGGGTCAAGTCCAAACATTTTGTTTAACATGAAACAAAATGTTTGGGTTTGGTTTCAGGTTGTTTAACCCTTTTGAATACGGTCAAATTGATTTGTAAAGAAAAACGCTGCTCAGAAATTAAGCGCTGAAAAATTGCTTTGAAAGCGTAAGTGAGAAACACACCAGAAATACCCGAGGGAAGCCCTCCACGAAGTTGTAAAATGAAAGGAAATTTGTGGACTTTTTTTTCTAATGCTCACATAATAATTATTATTTTTTTCAACCAAAACATTGCCAAATTTTATTTCAATTCAGAAGTCATGACTGTAACCTAAAATCTCTCTCTTTCCCTTTTGGTAGTGCGCTCTGTTGCGCCGGCTCAGGATTTAGCTCTATAAAAGCGATGCCCTTGGTGCAGCCAGTGGGCCAGCCTGCTGTGTGAGAGGGTGACGAGCTCTGTCCCATTAACTTATTAGCAACCAGTAATTAGCAGGATCAGGTGGGCACGGTGAGCTGCTGGGGAGGGAAGCCCACGCGCAGCCCCTCGGCTCGTGCCCGGCTTCACTCCCTGCTGGGAGCGGGGCCGAGCGCCCGCAGGAAACCTGCGGCGAGAGGAGTTCTCCTTGTGCGTGGCCCCAAAAAACACGCTGCCCTGGCTCCATGCTGCTTTGGTGATGTCTCGGTGGGTAATTTAATGTGGGAAGGGGCTGCAGGCTGTGTCGTGCCCACCTGGGTAACGTCCGCGCTGGGGGAGCCCCCCAAGGGCAGCGCCGCTGTGCGCCCCTACAGCTCCAGGGGTCCATAATGCAGCCAGGGACGCACTGAGGACTCCGTGTGTGGGAAGGAAAAGGGTCTCCGGGTCCTCCTCCAGGTGAAAAAGCCCCTGGAGGCACCTGGACAAAAGGTGCCGCAGCCCGAGCCCACGGCGCTCAGCGGGGCAATGGGCTTGGGGCACGGGAACGTCCTCCAAAAGGGTCCGCGCCCTCCAAAAGGGTCCGTGCCCTCCAAAAGGGTCCGCGCCCTCCAAAAGGGTCCGTGCCCTCCTGCCCCAGGGCTCGGGGAGCCGACGAAGCACCCCTGCAGCCAGCGGGCTGCTTGCAGTTGGGTGCTTTTGCTTTGGGTCCAAACAGCTTTGTTTTTGTGCTGCGTTCGGGACAAAAAGTAAGAAATCTCCTCGTTGGGTTTTTTTCCCCTTGACAAGTTGAAGGATCCAAAATAACTAATGAATTGGAAAAGCATTTGGACGGTTATTCCAAGTCCAGCCTTAGAATATCTCATTATTTGAGTGCACGACTGTGACCAGCTTTAGGTTCCACGCCGATTTTTCAGTTTTAAAGCACTTCCTTTTAGCCCAGCGTCCTCGAGGGCTGCAGGACAAACCCGGGGGTCCTAAACCCGGGGCTCTCGGTGCAGGTGTGTCGGCCCTGTTTGCCTCCCGCTGCATTTTGCTTTCATGGGAGCTAAAAGAACGCATGCAGCATTTTTATTTTTGGCCGTAATTTGGTTTGTTCCCTAAACTGGTGCCAGCTAGCACAAGGACACCAAAGGAACGCGTATTTAGGGAAGAGCCATTTTGCAACTGGATCGTGCCGGAGCCAAATCCGAGTGTTGAAAAATATTCGAGACTGACTTAAAATTACTTGGTTGGGGTTTTCCATCCTGGGGGCCCCCTGGGTTTGCTCTCTTGCTTTGGCTTTCTGCTCCTCAGCCTCAGCCCGGGGTGGGGGGGGGGATGGAGGCCAGCGGGTGCCTCCCCCGAAGGACACGGCCGGGGGATTTTGTGCCCTCCTAAAAGAGGATTCAGCCCAGGGCAGGCAGGAAGAAAATTTTCTACCACCAATACCAGTGGGTTTCTGGTGATAATAACAGGCTTCTATTGCAGAAAAAAAAAAAAAAAGGGCAAATTTGGGGGAAGCTTAACCCTTGGTTTCCTCCACCCCGCAGCGAGGACCCGTGGCGGGCGGCGAAGATGATCAAGGGCTACATGCAGCAGCACAACATCCCGCAGCGCGAGGTGGTGGACGTCACCGGCCTCAACCAGTCGCACCTCTCGCAGCACCTCAACAAGGGCACCCCCATGAAGACGCAGAAGAGGGCCGCCCTCTACACGTGGTACGTCCGCAAGCAGCGGGAGATCCTGCGGCGTAAGTACCCGGCGGGGATGGGATTGATGAGAGAAATCCGTTGGGGCTGCAGGAGAAGCGGGTGGGAGCCCCCCTCGGTCGCGGTGACGCTGCCCCGAGCCCCTCTGAACATTTTGGTTTCTGCGTATCTGTGTTCCTCAGAGCTGGGAAAGCGACCGATGGTCGCACACCGTTAGATCCGTTTCCCACCTCTGCCCCCTTTTTCCTCTCTGCGCTTCTCGAGCGTGCTCGTTTTCGGCAACTCCTTGGCAAAAAAGTAAAGAGAGAGGAAAGAAAAAAAAAATACTAAATGATTTGTACCTGCAGCATGGTCTCGGTACTTTTGACCAAGCACCCAGAGCAGGGCTCCTTAAATCCCCCAGGGCCCTGTCCAGCATGACGGAGCCCCCCCACCAGCCCTGCTCCTCCAAAAAGATGCAAAATGCAGCGAGAAAAAGCGCAGGAAAGGGTCCAGCACCAAGCGCTGCCGCTTTGAAAGCGCACCTGGAGATGTGAAAGCAAACAGAGCCCGCTCCAGCCCGGGACTCTGTTGTCACAAGGGGGAAAAGCCATTACAAAAAGAGGGAGAATTCCCCCGCAAACCTTGAGAATAATAAAAACCTGCCATTAATCTCCCTTTACTGCCACGGTGACAAGTGCCCGGCTGGACGCGGGGAAGGTCACCCCTGGCGCACACCTCGGGGGCGCGGGGCTGAGCCCCCAGCTCCCTGAACCAGGGGTAGGGCGAGCGTGTGAGGAGGGGGCTCCGTGGTGGCTGAGAGCTCATTTTGGGGGGTTTCAGTGTGCCCTGCCTGGCTCCTGGCTTGCAAAATTCCTCCTGGAACAAGCGCAGGCCGGCAGAGCCCCACCATGAATATGCATGCCCTGCGCATTGCCTCCCCATTAAACACCCGTCCGGGTCGGTCGTAACCCCGCTGCCCCTGCCCGTGTGCGCGGCCGGTGCCGGGGTGCCCCAAACCGGCACCAAAAAACACCAGGGCCGGGGGCTGGGGGTGGCAGGAGGGGGTCTGGGGAGCAAGGGGGGGGTCCGGGGGCTGCCGCCGCGCGTGCCTGGTGACTCTGAGCGGCGGCTACAGGCCGGGTGACGTCTGCTCCTTTCTCTTTCAGAGTTCAACCAGACAGTCCAGGGTTGTGGAAATAGGACAGACAAAAGCAGTCAGGATCAGCTGCTGTTTCTCTTTCCAGAGTTCAATCAGCAGAACCAGGGGGCTGGCCAGCTCGACGACGCCTGCTCCGAAACCCCCAGCAAGAAGATGCGCCGCAATCGCTTCAAGTGGGGGCCGGCCTCCCAGCAAATCTTGTACCAAGCCTACGACCGCCAAAAGAACCCCAGCAAGGAGGAGCGAGAGGCGCTGGTGGAGGAGTGCAACAGGTAACGGCCGCCCCTCTCCTCCAAAAACCACGCGCATGGTGCCGGGCTCACGGCTCGCACACCCACGGCAGCCCCAGTGGCACGGTGTGGCTGAGCCACCAGCACTGTTTTCGCCTTGCTTTGCCCCCCCGGGGGCAGCGTGCAGACTTGAGAAAGCTCCCTGATACATTCGGGGATGCCACGAGGTGGGAGGGAGGTGGGGTGGCTTTTGTGCCATGGATGCAGGTCAGGAAGCGCGGGCAGGCACTGAGGGAGGGCTCGAACACCCCCAAATTCCCCCTTCCACCCGAGGACCCCCATGGATCAGGGGGCTCCCCAGCAGCAGCCGTGTTCCAACGTGTCCCCTCGCACACGCAGGGCCGAGTGTCTGCAGCGGGGGGTGTCTCCCTCCAAGGCGCACGGGCTCGGCTCCAACCTGGTGACGGAGGTGCGCGTCTACAACTGGTTCGCCAACCGGCGGAAGGAGGAGGCTTTCCGCCAGAAGCTGGCCATGGACGCCTACAGCTCGGGCCAGCCCCCGCACAGCATGAACCTGCTGCTGTCCCACGGCTCCCCCCACCACAACCAGCCCAGCGCCTCGCCCCCCAGCAAGATGCCAGGTGAGCCCCGGGGTGGTGGCGCTGAGCAGTCGCCGCGCTCGCCCCCGTTTCTCCTGGAGAAAGGGGTGCTGGACACTTGGGGCCGTGCACCACCAAGGTGGTGATGGGCTCAGAGGGATGATGGTCCGTGCTGCCCACCCTGAGCTGAGCTCTTGGTGCAGTTTCCCAGTTGGCAAACCGGCCACAGACACTTTGGATATGGGGTGGGACCCTACTCAGCACCCGGGTACGGGGACAGCCCGGTCCCCCCCGCAGCCTCGCTGGGTGTGGAGAGGAGCGAACGCTGTCCCTGCAGCCCTGTGGCCGGGCGAGCCACGTGGCGAGGGCTGGTTGCCATCCTGCTGAGGACAGATGGGTGTTTGCTTGGCTGGCTCAATTTGACGGCGTCCCCGCACGGGCTGGGCTGGGCAGGGGCGGGGATGTGGGACGGGGAGGGCTGGGGGAGGTAAAACTGCCCCAGGGGGCACAGGGCTCGCCCTGGGGGCACCCGAATGGCACGAGTGGTGTGCGCCAAGCCCTGCAGCCAGGCTCCCCTCTGCCCCCGGTGTTTGTGGCCGGGGGGATTGAAGCAGGAGATAACGCCGCCGGGAGGGTAATCAGGGAGGGTCCGCGGCAGGCCGCAGCGTGGGGCAAGAGGCATTGTTGGGAGAACAATCCCCATTGTGCCGCTACCTGCAATCTGCACTCCAAAGCCGCCAGCCCCGGCAAACAAGAGCGGGCGGTGAGGGGTCAGCGCGGGGCCGTGGGGCTGGGGGCGATGCACCCCAAACACCCCCGGCACCCCGTTGGGGTGGCACCCACACAGGCCTGGATTGGGAGCCAAAAACCAGCCCCCTCTTGGAGCTGTCCCTGCAAGCCCCCAGCCTCATTTAGAGCAGAATTAAATGAAGAGAGTCCCATAGGCATGGGGAGAGGGTGCTGAGAGCTGGGGACGGGGCCATCCCGGGCGCTGTGGGACCCCCAGGCAGGCTCCACGTGTGGGGACGCCCATGGGGCGCAGAGCACCCCACATCCCACGTCCCACCTGCCCCGCTGGCAGCCCCGGCTCCCGGCGCAGCTCTCCCCGCGGTGACCACGGCGTGACCCTGCCCCAGGAATGCCCCGCACAATGGCGGGGACCGGGCGGACGTTTGCCCTCCTGTCACCGGCTGATTGCTTACAAGGTGCCCTACAAGCACATTGTCAGCAAAATCAGCTGTTTTCTGTGTCGGCCGCCGGGCTTGACAATACCGCACCAGCATGCAGCCCCGCGTTGTCATGGCGTTGTCCCCCCCGTGCATGCTTAATTGACAATTAAGCCGGGGCTTTGAACGAACCCCGCTGCCTTTGATGTGCCCCCGTCCTGCCAGCGCGCATGCAGGCGCCCCGCGAGAGCCTTTGTCCCCTTCTATTAGGGGACAGCAATTATTGCACCCGCGGGCATTTATCTCGGGGCTGCGGGGCCGTTAAGCCCAAACCTTTCTTTTCCCACCCGAGCTTGGGCCAGCAGGAGCCGGCCGCGGCTATAGGGCCGATGACAGCCCATTCGGAGGGGCTTTTGAGCCGGGCAGGAGTGATGGCCACCGAGGGGTCAGGAGGGCTCGGCCGCGGGGATTTGCTGGCGGCCAGCGCTGGAGCGCATCGGCCTCGCCGAGGAGGAGGAGGAGGAGGAGGAGGTGGGCACGGCGAGGGCTGCTTGTGGAGCAGGAGGCTGGGCTGGAGCTCAGCCAGTGCCTGTGTTGGGGTCCATCAGACCCGGTGGCATTTCGGGCCCTACAAGCTGCGGGTTTGCAGCCCCCAAAGCAGCTCCGGGTCCTCCGAGAGGTGCTGACCCCGTCCGTGGCTGCGCGTGCTGGGATTTGAACTGCCCTTGCACCCTGAGTGGTGCTGTCTGGAGCCCTCGGTGCCTCCTTAACAGCTTAATGATGGTGTGGGGACGCTGCCCCGCGTCCTGTCCCTCTGTCGGGGCAGGGAACGGTGGGGCTGGATGCGAGGGGCAGCCCAGAACTGCTCCCAAAAGTGGGCACCGGCGGCATCGCCTGGGGGGGTGCCCTGCCAAAAAGGGCAGGGTAACGGCCAGGGGCATGGGGAAAGAGCTGGAAAAGTCGGGCATCCTCCCAGCCTCTTCCTGGGGACCCCGAGCCAAGTCTCAGGCCGGAGTTTTTGACTATTTGGAGGTAAATACTTCAAGCCTATCTCGGAGGCTTCTCAGACTCTGGACTTTTCCCTTCCTATAGGGCATTATCAGTGATCTCGGTTCCCTGTTTGACTTGAAGGTCACTCAGGGCTTTATCTCGCTGCCTCGGTGCCATGCCACAGACTCTGGCTTATGCCATTTTTATCTTCAAGAGCCCCAAAGACAATCAGTGCATTGACGAGATTAGGTGACGTGCTGCGTCCCCCCCACCCCCCCATGTCCCCACTGCATACAAAGGGCCCCGGGGTGCCCCGCAAAGCCCCCGGCCCCGCAGCATCTCCCCCGCCCGCCCCATCCGTCTGGCAGTGCCCACACAGCAGCCATCCTTCACATGCGTGTGGATAATAAAAAACGTTATTTATATCTGAATATACATGGTACAGATTTTAGATATCTCCACAGACCTACGTACAAATATAAAAATAACTCAGCCCCACGCCCTCAGGTTCTCGGTGAGCCGCGAGGGCAATTCGGGTGATTTTAATTTTTTATTTTTATTTTTTTTTTCCTTAAAGAAAAGCCCGTCCATAAAACCCTGGTCCAGAGGTACATCAGTTTATATCTGGATCTTTCAAGTTGCTCTTTGATAGCCGTGGGGTACGTGCTGGTTCTGGCTGCGGACCCGGTGCCAGCCGTTGTAATTCTTTCCTGTTGCGCTCATTGTGCAGCTCGGTGGGGACGGTGCGCTGTTAGGAGCTTTTCCCGGTTTTATGGGGGGTAATTAGGGCTTTATGACAGCAGCAAAATGGGAGGGTCCAGTCCCAATAAACAGGTTTATAATGGATATAAACTATGCACCTCTGTAACTGAGCGAGATTAACACTTTAGGGACAATTTGAGTGGCAGCCCCAAAATCGGCGATTTGCGGGGTGTCGGCGAGGCTCCGGGTGAAAACACAGCCGGTGTGAGCAGTGAGAGCTGCTGCCAGGGGTTGTGCCTCGGGATGTGCCTCGGGATGCTCTTTGGGATGCTCCTGGGGATGTGCTTTGGGATGTGCTGGCTCGGGGACGGGCTCTGGCACCCCGCAGAGCCGGGGGTGCCGGCCGCGGGGCTGAAACACAGGGTTAAGGCTACGGGAGCCAGACCCCGCGGTTTGTCTGGAAACATGGGAAAGCAGTAAAACGTTTCACGGGCTGTGCAGCTCGGGGGCCAAACAATAGCCGGGTCCCATAAACAGACTTTTATATTATGGCTGTAGCTCCAGTTGGAGGGAAAAAAAAAAAAAAAAGACTTTAAGGGCGCAGGCTCCGCGGGCAGGCCCATTAACTGTGATTCACGGGCAGGCTCCTCTCCGGGGCGGCTGCGCAGAGCGGGACGGGGAGAGGCTGAGGAGGAATAAATCTTGTGCTGGGGCTGCTTCAAGCACAGGGACAACAATCGTGCCCGGCTCTGTGCAGCCGCCTGGCCCGCCGTGCCATAAACCCTGCGCTTAGGCGGGACGTGAAGCCCCCCAGGAGGGAGCCGTGCGCCCCAGGGGGGGCAGAAAATGGGGTCGGAGTGGTGTCAGGGGACAGATCCTATGTTCAGACCCACAGGACGGCCCCACCATGGCCATGGTTGAGGTGGGACTGGGCAGGAGGTGAGTGGGGAGCAGAGCAAACCGGCACCTCCATCGCCCGGAGCGCTGTTGGAACTGAGCAGCGGGAGCCTCCCGATGCCAACCAAAATCTGCCAAAATCCAGCCCGACAGCGAGGGCGTACAACCAGCAGCGATAGCCATCCCGCTCTAGGAATGAAAAAATAAATAAAAAAAAATAGTTGGTGGCTTCCCAAAGGCCTGCGAGTTAGCTGCAGCAGACGGGAAAGCCCGTACCCTGCCCAAGCCTCGGCCGCCAGACTCCCCGGACACCTCGGCGGTGGTTATCGCTCCTCAAACAGCAGTCTCGTCCTTAGGATTGCAGGGAGAAGCTAGAAAATCAGCTTTGAACATCGCCTGCTTTTTAAAGACAGCTTTGTAATTCCGCGAGTCTTGGCTGAAGCGGGTGCGGCGTGATTTGGGGTGTCAAATTTTGTCCTCACTGAAAGCTTCACGGAATCCAAAGGGGGGGAGATCGCCCCGGCAGGTAGCAGACCTCGGCATCCCCCCCTCGCGGTGTCACTGCTTGAAACCTTACAGACCCTCACCCCCAGGGGCGAGGTCTCCCCCGGTCCTGCATTTCTCAAACACGCCTCGGGTTTCTTCCGTAGCCAATTCAATCACTATTTCATCGGCGCAGAAACTATAATTTAATCTCCAGCCGGAGCCGCCTGCGCTCCCGGTCTATCTTTAAGACCATTGTGAGCAGAAAGGGCTTTATTTTATCTCCCCTCCCATTGTTTGAGCAGCGCTGCAGGATCTCGGAGCGGCAGCGGCTGAAGCACACTTTGCACGAGGCCGGGGCCGCGGGGAAGAATGTGGTGACAGTGCCCCGGTTGAGTAATGTTTACCCTGCTCATGGCTGGGACGTCCACTCGTAGCGGCAAATATCCACCTGCCAGAGGACATTCTTGTATTATCAGGGATAAAGGGGTTTGCTGGGAAATGATCAGGAACCAGACATCGCGGGGAGATTCCTATCTGTGGGACATGTTTAACCAGCTGACGGTGAAAATTTGGAGGCAATTAAAGGGTGACTTTTCCGTGCTTTCGGCGATGGCAGCAGGTAGCCTGCTGCTTTTGGGGCCTCGCGCACAAAGCGGCCAGACTCAAGTTATTGGTTATTTCAGATGTTTCTTCCTTAACTCAAAGGTTTTTGGAGCATCCCCGCAGACCTGCAACCTGCCAGCCTGCACGGAGCTGCCCCTGAAGCTCCAGGTCCTCGGGGCTTTGGCCACCGTGCCAGCAGGGCTCCTGGCACCTGGCAGAAAGAGCCCCAAAACCCCAGGACAAAGACCCTCAACCTGGGCGCATGGAGCTGTGGGTTTGGGGACAGGTCCTCAAGGTGCCCACGGTGGTGGCCAGGGTCACCGTTCATGCCTGGCTCTGGCTGGGGCTGATGATGCTCACAGGGGTTGCTGCTGGTGATTTTCAATCCCAGGAGAGATTTGGGCCCTCGCTTCGATCTCCGGGGAGTTCAGTGAACCCGGCTGCGAGCCCGGTGCTGGGCTCCTCGTAATGAATGGCTTCTCACCAGAGTTGTCAGGGCACCCGTGTAAAAGACGCTTTTGTTTCCCGCGGGTTTTCCTCGGTTAATTATTTGTGATCTGTAGATGCCTTTCGATGACACACGGCTGATCATATGGTTATCAGTGCAGGGCTTTTTAGCCAAATTAAATAGATTTATATTGAAGACCTGCGCTCAAGCCAGATTTCACCCCTTGGCGGTGTCAGGCTGCGCTCCGGTTTGGAGGTTTGCATTTCTGGTCCCTCTGTCCTCCTGCGGCTCTCTGTTAATCATGCACTGGTCAAGAGCAAGTCGAGAGGGAAAGGGGATGCAGGAGAGGCTGAGAAAAAAGTGAGGGCAATCATCGTTCGGACATGGTGGAGGTTGCACGTGGGTGTGCACCGTGCACGAGGGGCGTGGAGGGGTGCAGAAGGGGTGCCTGTTGTGGGCAGGGTGGGTCAGATGGGGGCAGCCCCTTTCTGCCCCGTGGGCATCAGGGATGGCCTGGGTTCCTCGGGGAGCTGCAGCGCTCTCTGGGCGCTTGGTATCCCTCAGCTTCATTTTCTCCGGGCAATCTCAGGAGATGGGGCTGGGGAGAGGCTGGAAAGCAGCACAGGAGGAGGGGGCACCTCGCCTGCTGCCCCCCTCCTGCTCATCACTCAGGGGGCTCACACATCCTTGTGCTGCACGCCCCGGGAGGGCTGGGGGGCAGCACGGCCGGGGGGTGCCCTCACCGGGGTGCCCGTGGGTGATGCCAACACCTGGTGCTGTTTTGCAGGGGTCCGGTACAGCCAGGCGGCCGGCGGCGAGGCGGCGTCCTCGGGGGCCATCAGCCACCACGGCAGCGGTGCCATGGTCACCACCAGCCAGGCGGTCCTGCAGCAGGTCTCCCCGGCCGGCTTGGACCCAGGCCACGGTTTGCTCTCTCCCGACGGTAAAATGGTGAGTACACCTGGCCGATTGTGGCGGCGGCGCTGATAAGATAAGAGGGCCCAGCGGGCAAAGCAAACACGCTTTCCCCGGGTTTCACACGCGGCCCGCGCCGAACAATGGGGCATTGTGGGGCCGGGGCCGTGGCGCGGGCGCGTGCCCGTCCCCAGCGCCCGCCTCGAGCGCGCTGCGCGGCCCCGCGGCCCCGCATGGTCCCCAAACACAGCCCATAAACCTGACAGAGCCCGCTCCGCTCCCATCGATCGCATGCCTCGCTGACTGGCTGCGCGCTGGGTGGATCGCTGTTTGCTTTCCCCCGCCGATGACACGGGCGTTGATAAAATGCTCATTCATTACTTTTCCTAAAGCCCTCCCGGGTTCGGAGCTTTTTGTTGGGAAGCTCTTTCCTGCCCGGCCGTGCCAGGACGGTGCCAGCCCCCGGTGCTGTGCATGGCTGTGTGCTGGTGCCGGGCTGTGCGGGCAGGGACAGGACGGGATGGGACAAGATGGGATGTGATGGGACGGGATGGGATGGGACGGGACGGGATGGGACAGGAGCACGGCGCTCCCTCGCAGCGGGCTGCTGCAGCTTTGTGCTGCCTGGCTGCCCCGCGGCTCTTGGCTCTTCCGGGAGGAGGTTTTCCTGCTGAAAGTGAAAGTCACGCATGGCCCTTGGCAGCGGGGCCAGCCCTGCTCTGCCCTGGTTTTCACTTCCATTTTCGCAGGACTGTCCCTCCTGGCCCGTCGGCTGTGCGTCCCCACAAGCCTGCTGGCTGGGCGCTCCCTCCTGCAGCCTGGGCTCTCTCCTGGCAGCTCCCTGCTTTACCTTTCCCTCTGCTCACCCCCACAAGGGGCTCCTGGCAGTTCCCTGCTCTGTCTTTCTCCCCTCTCGCCCCCACCAGGGGCTCCTTGCAGCCCCACGGCTCGGGTGCAGCTCTGGGGACGCCGAGCGCCCTTCTCCAGGCAGAGGAAGCGCTGCAGGGCGATCCCAAGCCCCGCAGCACGCTCCCTTGCCGTGCGCCCTGAGCACACCCATGCCTCCCTCGGGGTGTGTTGAGCCTCGTAACCCTGAGCCTTGAAGTCATAAAATGAGTCACGACTGAAGGCAGCAGCAGGCACCGACAGTGCAGGGTGGGGGGTGAGAGGACAAAGCCGTGCGAGGAGCTCGGTGGCGCGGAGCTCTCGGCACACCCCAGCCAGCTCCTTCTGCTGGAGCCCCTTTTTTTTGGGGGGGACAGGAGCCCCTGGGGAGGGGAGCTTCCCTCGCGTGGCAGAAGTGCAGCAGGGTTGCAGGGGGGGAAGCAGCCTGCTAAAGGCACAGGCGGGCAGAGCCCTACTGAATGATCCCCGCTGCACAGCGCCGTCTGGGGCTGCTCGGTTCCCCAGCAGCTCTGCCAGCTTATCTCTGATCTTTAAGCAAGGCTAGCTAGTGCTTGCAAGTTATTTAATAAAAATATGCTGTAGGCTGTGGTTTCTAGTAAGTAAACATGTGCCTTTAATACCCCGCATGAAACCAAAAGCTGCCAAGGAAATTGCTGCATCTGAAGGCAGGTCGTGTTTTAGGGAGGAGTGCTACGGAGGGTGCAGGCAGCTGTGGTGTTTCCCTCCTTCATGCTTTTGTGTTGCTCCTGTAGTCCCAGAGAGCCCCCTGCAATGGTCCAGTGCTTGGCGGGTCTTTTCCAGTCCTGCCCCCTCCAGGTGACCTCTTTTGGGAGCAGCTCTTTTGCCCAGCTCCCCCTGAAACGTGCCCGGGCTGCAGGTGAGCGGCTCGTGCACCACGGCGTGGTGTGACCTGGCCTTGAAGAAACTCTGAAAGTGGAAAGTACTGGATAAGGAAACATGAGTCACCCTCGAGCTCTGGAATTTATTGATGTTTCAATCGCAATGAGGCTATCTCAAATTCAATGGGCAAAATAAACAAGGCGCTGGGACCGGTGTCGAGGAGTGTCACACGGAGAGCCCAAAGGATGGCTCCGAAACCTGGATCGAAGCTGCTCGGTGCAAGAGGTTCCATCAGAGGGGTTAGGAGAACTCAGTAATGCAGCGACTCAATAATTCAGCAATACTTCAGCACTGCTGTGCCCCTGTTTATACCAGGGACCGACACAGCCCTCCCAGCACGCTCCAAGGATCTCTGCGTGTGTCTGACCATCACGCACCAACCCCAAACCCAGGGAGCCGGCTCTGGCCACCTCACCAGCACTGCCCATCTGCACGCCGTGGCTGCAGACCCAAAACCAGGATTTTTTTTCCATAAAAGTGATGACTAAGAAGATCACCCAGGTCTTTTTTTGTCTTTTCTTGTAAGATTCCCAGGTTTATATTTCCCACTTTCCTCTACAACCGTGACGGCTGGAAGTTAATGAGTGCTGAGAGTCCTCAGTTGTCCCCAGCTGCAGGAACTTGGACCTGGTGGGCACAATGGCAAACGCCTGGGCCGCGTCCTGTGCCCGGCGCTGTGCTCTGCTGGAGCGCTGGCAGCCGCTTCCAGGGGAGCTTTGCACCGCTGCTGCTTTGCTATTTATTAACGCGGTCTTCAGGAGTCCCAGCCAGGGTCTGCAGCCTCAGGGCGCCTCACTGAAAGGTGTCCAGCGTGGCCGCAGCCTGCTTAGCTCTTAGGGGCTTTTTCCACCCCCCCAAATCCCTGTTTTTTGGGGTTGCCGTGTCCGGGTGGCATCAGGGAGCCGGGAGCAGCCCTCGCCGTGTGCCTGATGTCTCTTTCTGCGTTGCTCCTTGGCAGATCTCCGTGTCAGGTGGCGGGCTGCCCCCGGTGAGCACCCTGACCAACATCCACAGCCTGTCCCACCACAACGCGCAGCAGTCCCAGAACCTCATCATGACGCCGCTCTCGGGAGTCATGGCCATCGCACAGAGTAAGGACACCCCCGGGACACCCCCGGGACACCTCCGCGCCCCCTCCCGCGGCACGCTGGGGACCCCGGCGCTCACCGTCCCCGCTCTGTCCCTTCCTCCAGGTCTGAACACCTCGCAGGCGCAGAGCGTCCCGGTCATCAACAGCGTGGCCGGCAGCTTGGCGGCCCTGCAGCCCGTCCAGTTCTCCCAGCAGCTGCACAGCCCGCACCAGCAGCCGCTCATGCAGCAGTCGCCCAGCCACATGGCCCAGCAGCCCTTCATGGCCACCGTCACCCAGCTGCCCAACTCGCACAGTAAGGGGCCGGCCGGGCGGCTGCCCTGGGGGGCACCTGGAAGATTAAATTGATGGGAAACGGGTTTCTGCCTCCTCCTGCGTGCCCCTGCCCCTGATCGTGTGCTGCTCGCTCCCCTGGGTGCCAGCCAGGGTGGGGTGGATGCGCCCTGCTCTGTCCCCTTCTTTCCTCCCACTTGTTTTATCGTGTCCCTGTCCGCACAGCATCCATCCCCACGCACCCCTCTGTGCAGTGCGGGGTTTGCCTGCTTTGCTCCTCTTCCAAAGCTCTGGGTGGCTTTTCCGTGACGGCCGCTTGTCCCCCTTCTCTCCGCAGTGTATGCACACAAGCAGGAGCCTCCCCAGTATTCCCACACCTCCCGCTTCCCCTCAGCGATGGTGGTGACGGACACCAGCAGCATCAGCACGCTCACCAACATGTCTTCCAGTAAGCAGGTAATGGTCAGGGCTGGGGTAATTTGGGGTGTTCGCTCCTCGGGTCCCACCTTTGGTGCCGAACACCTTCAGTGGGCTGCAAAAAAACCCTATTGCAGATGGCAAGCGTGATGGGGACACAGGTGATAAGTGGCTGGGATGGAGAGCGAGCGCTTGGCTGAGGCCACGCTCAGCTGCACGGGGCTGGGGCATCCTCCGGGGGTTTGGCTCCAGCCCTTCGTGGCCAGGGTGAGCCGGGATCGGTTGGAGCTGGGTGCGTGGCGGCCCCAGCCCCAAACTTTATCTGCCCCGTGCCGGCACAGGACTTATCCCGGCTCAAATCAGGTGCGCGAGGCCTTCCTCAGACAATGGCCCCTTTCTACCAGCCGGCTCTGGGGACTGTGGGAAATATGCGGCCCTTATTGATTGCTAGATAAATAAGAGAGAGCCTTGAACTTGTATGCAGATAAACTTTTCTTACCCAGCTTTGACAGTGGAGAGGAAAAAAAATGCCTGCAATGAGCGCAGAGTAAATACAGCGTGGGATTGCTGCGGGACCTCCCTGCGGATGCTCGGCACCGCTCGCTGCTCAGGGGGCAAAAAAGGGAAGGGGCTGGGGGCACCGTGGGGGCTCGGGGTGCCTGGGGTGTCCTACAGGGGAAGGCAGAAGTGTGATGGCACCGGGTGCTCCAGCGGGGCTCGCTGCAGGCTCCTGCTCTCCGTGGGGCGAGCGCTGCCCTGCGCGTGGCGGCGTGGGGGCGGCGAGGCGCGGCCGGGCTCCTCGGGAGCTCCATTTCCTCCGCGCGGCCTTATCGGCCCATCTGGTGTGCGCTCAGCCCGAACTCCCCCTGATTAATCGTGCTCTCCTGCCACGGGCTGGCTTTGATGCCGGCTTGCCGAAACGAGCCCGCCGCACACAGGAAATGTCCCTTGCATGGGAAGAGCGCCTGGGCAGCCCCGCCGCCGGGCTGCGGTCAGCCTACCTTGACGTGGCGCTGCCCGGGGCTCGCTCGTTTTCCTCCCTCCATCCTGCCCTCACGGTTTAATTAAAGCAGGAGAAGGGCTCTCCGTGCAGGAGCGGGGAGATGGGGCCGGGATGGGTGTGAAACTCCCCCAGCGATGGCCGGCGTGGCACCCAGCCCTGGCAGGGTTTGGGTTTTGGTGGTGGCCGTTTGCGCTGCTCCTCCCCGAGCTGTCCCCTCCATGCAGGAGGGGCGCGCAGCTCTCGGTTCCTCTGACAACGCTCGAGGCCGAGCCACCATTTTTATTACGTGAGCAAACACCTGATAGCCGCGGCCCGTCCCTAATGACATGTCACGGGAGGCTCCTGGCGTCTCCTTATCTCCGCGTTACGATGTTTGCTGTTCGCTCCAGCCCACAAGGTCACCCGCGGCTGCCGGCCCCCACCCCACCGGTGACCGGGGGACCCCAGGAACGGGGCAGGGGCTGTTAGAACAATCGCTGAAACAGGCCCCTTTTTTTTTCCTTTTAGAGTATTATTTTGGGGGTGGCAATATCGGGCTCAATGTGCTTTTGATCTGCTTTACCTTTGGGGGTGCTGCAGGGCTTGCTTGGGGTTTGTGCCACCGAGGTCGGGGGGCCTGGAGGAGGTCTCCCCGGGGAGCCTCCTGCCCTCGCCCTCCCGTCACCGTGCTGCTCTCTCCCTCCCCAGTGTCCCCTGCAAGCCTGGTGATGCTCCACACCTCGCTGCCTTTGCACATAGCAACGGGAACTTTATTTTCCACAACATCCCGCGGGCGACCCGCACGCCGAGCCGCAGAGAAGCCCAGCGCCGCAGCGAGGAGCCCACTGCCCCGACACGGAGCCGGAGGCTCAGCACCCCGCCGGGACCAGCCCGAGCCCCATCCGTGGGCACCTGCCCAGGGACCGCGCCTCTCCTCCCCTCCGCGCAGTATTTCCGAGATGTGTCTTGAGGATTTTTTTTATTTTTTATCATTTTTTTTTATTTTTTTTTTCTGAAGTATTCGCCTTCCAAGAGGCCGTTGGCTCTCCCGAGGGAATAGGAAGGAGCTGCCCTGAGAGGTGGCAGCAGGGGAGGACGGATGGTATTTAAGTTACACTCCTCTGCCCGACGGACTGAGAGGGACTTGGGTCTGTTACTTGGCGCTCGGAAGGAGGAATCGCGTGAGCTGTTGAACTGAGCCAGTTAAACTGTAAATATAGGTACAGTCTGCTCCATCCTCACCTGTCCCCACTCCTATACATAAAGATTTATATAAAAGAAGTAAATTTTGTCCAATGGATGTAAACTACTGTAATTAAGTGCAATTCCCCCATCTGTATATATTGGTCCTGAACCTCCTCTCTCCCTTTTTTTTTTTTTTTTTTTTGGTAAAGGTCAGAGCTGAGTACGCTGTTGGTTTTGTATTTCCCTTCTTCCTTTCAATGAGCCAGCCCACAAGGAAAGCCCTGTGCCTGTGTGAGGACACCGGTCCAGCAGCACCAGTCCACACGTGTGTGTCCCCCCCCCGGCACGGTGCTGGTGCTGAGCACAGCCCCAGCAGCTGGCTGCTGATGGCCAGAGCCTGGGCAACCCCAAAAACTCGGGGGCTGCCTGATTTGGGGGGCACAAAGACGGGCTGCTGTGGGGTGGGGAAGCACTGCCACGCTGCCGGGAAGCTCAGAGCACCGGCGGCTGCCAGGGGAGCCCGTGGCTCTTGTGCTGTGCGAGGGGATGTGGCAGCAGGAGGTGCTGGTGGGATCGTCCTCAGACGGGGTTTGGAGACCCTCTGCCTCTCCTCCTCTCCGTGGGATGTGGCTGGGATGGGTGCCCGGTCACTGCCTCGTCTCCTGCCCAGAAAGCAGCCAGTGTAGGTGCCTTATTTTCCGCTGCTGCTGCTGAGCCTGGCTGGCTCCCCCCTCAGCAGTAACCACGGTGCTCTCGCCGTGGCAGCGTCGCCTCCGAGAGGTGCTGAAGAAGCAGGCTGGAAGAGCCCTGAGTTCCCACAGACCCAAATTCCTCCCTGCTCACTCTGGATTGAGGGCACGGGATGTTTCCTGCACCCCGGCAGCCTCAGACCACCGGTCCCAGGGCTGCCTCCCCCCGCCTGCGGTGGCTCCCAGAGGACAGGCTTCGAAGGACCATCTCCAGCTTGTGGCTCAGCCCAGCTCCACGGCGAGGGCACGTCCCAGCTCTGCACCCACTGGTGTGGTTTAGGTGCCCAACTTTCCAGAACTGTGGGAGCCGCACACGGCATCGCCTCACTTCCCACGGGACAGAAGCACCTCCGTGCACAAACCCCTTCAGAAATGGATCTCCCCAGTTGTTCATTTTTTTCCTTATCTTTGCCACGTGTGCCAACTGCTGAGGGTGCTTTAGAGAGGTGAAGAGCAGAGGAGGTGCCTGTGGACGGATGATGACTGCTCAGAAAAACACTGGATGCTTTCTTTGGGGCAAGAAAGACTTTTCCTGTGTGTCTGTACAGTGTCTGGCACGGTGGGACCCTCTGCTGGGACTGATGGGAGCTGCCCTATGGTGAATAAGTCACCACGAATTGGAGACCAATATTCAGAATGACGTCTAATTTAATGTATACCATAATTAAACACCATTTCTTCCTACTCGGTGCTGTGTGATCTGTGAATCCTGCCGCAGCGGGAGGTGCTGCTGGGGTGGACCTGGGGCTCCTGTGGTATGGGCAGTGCCACCCCGCTGCCTCCCTGCGGTTCTGGGGGCCTGAGCCCACCAGCTGGAGAGGCAGGAGGGTACACAGAGTTTTGCTCTGAGGCTTTTGGGGGTCTGTGACTGCCAAGAGCTGAGGCTCGGAGCACACCAGGAGCAAAGGGTGGCTCCTCTGCAGACATGGTGCAGGGCTTCGGTTTGAATTGTGTTCAGGAGTGCCCGTGTTTGGCTCGGATCCTGTTTCTTTTCATCATTTCAGTGTGGGCTGCTGTGGGAAGGGCCTTCAGCGCAGCGATGTGGTGCTTGCATTTAGGGCCGGAGCAGGACACCCCAATAGAAACCCTCATTTGGAGTTTCTGTGATTTTTTGCTGCCCCGGATCAAAAACTGGAAGCGCAAAGCTGGAGGAGGATGGAAGGCGTGAGGACTGCTTGGTCCCTTTCACAGGGAGCTGGAAGAGACACACTTTTAGCAAAGTTTGCAGAGCAAAGATGTGGGATTTATGCTGAGAGATCCCCACTGCCCTCCCCTGCTCAGCAATTCCCTTTTGATACAGCTGAGAGCTGAGCCTCCAAGGGGGCAGCGCCTGTTGGGGTGTGATTTCAGCTCTCTGGCAGATGTGGGCTGAGAGGCACGGGGCTTGGGGTGTGAACAATAAGGGTAAAGCATCACTTGGTAAGTGGTCTCCTATCAGCACTGCTCTGCAGAAAGCCCTGCAGAGAACGTAGGAGAAAAGCTCGGGGGGTGGAGGCTCTGAGGGACAACCCCACGGGAGAGGGGCCGGGTGGTGACAGGAGGCAGCAAGCCAAAAGGAACTGGGAAACGGGCATGGGGCACAGATGGAGAAGGCAGCAACCATGGAGCCGAGAGAGTGTGATAGAGCAGGCAGGATAAAGTCAATAATATGAATATAGCACAAATGATTAAGAAGAGAAAGTGTTTACCCAGGAGGTGTGAATGCACGAAGCTGCCAAAGAGCTGCTTGGGTGCTGTCCCCCACCCCTGGGGACCAGCAGGCTGGGAGGAAGGCAGCGTGATGGTTTGCAGGATGCTGTGGGCACTCTTACAAATATTATCACTGCAAGGGGAAGGTTTCCAAGATGTGGGTTTAACCTCCAGCCGAGGGAGGTATTGCCCCAAACTCCCTGAGCAGCCTCTGCTGCCACTGCCTGGGGCTGGAGCCCTGCCTGGCCCACACCTCGCCCAGTGCCCCCGCTCCTGCTACACCCTGCGCTGCTGGGAAGTACCACTTGGCTGGGAAATGCCACTTAACGGCAAAGGAGGCTCCTGCAGGGCGTTTTTTTTTTCCTCCTGTTGCTGTTGGGGCTGTGTTTGGTGACAGTTGTCATGTAGGAAAGCGCAGACACCTACCAGAAGCATGGCAAAGCTCCTTTACTAGCAGTGGGGTTTTACAAGGCTGGGTGATAATCCTGCAGACCAAAGCTGTTTTACAGGGGAATTCCAGCACGTGAGGCTCCATGGGCTGCCAGGAGGCTTTACAGGTCTGCTTCATACCCGTAACAGCCCGTGGCCTCCTTCATCCCAGAGTGAAGCCGCATCACTGGAGGCAACTTAAAGTGCAAAGGAAAATCCCTCCCTGCCCGATCCCAGGATTACCAATTCCAGGCTGTTTTGGCTCTCCACAGCACGAGGACCGCTTGCTGTGCCTGTGCTCCTTTCCTGGCCAGGGCACGCAGGCTGCAGGGATGGGGCTGGAGGGACCCTCGGGGTGTGGAGGTGGGATGCAGGAGGGCTGTAATTGAGCGTGGCTTCTCCTTTAGCTCCGGAGGAGAGCGCAGCCTGCTGCCACCTGCCAGAGACCCCTGCTCTTTGCACTGCAGCACGCTGCCTGTGAAGCCGCTGGGTCATACCCTGGTTAGTGCCGCCCTCGCCGCGTTACGGCTTTATCAGATGGCGAGCACGAGCCCTCTGCGTGGGGCTGTGGTGGGGAGCGGGGCTGCTGGCCCTTATCACCCCTGTGATCGTGGGCAGGACAGAGCCAGGGAAACCCTGACCATGGCCAAACCCTGCATGCTGGAGGGTCGGGGTGCCCCGGTGCTGAATCCTCACGTGTGTGACCGTTGGCCCTGAGCAGGTGGCTTGCTAGGGAAAGCCCCAGCATCCCTGCAGAGGAGCCACTGAGCTGCTGGCCACGGAGGCAACAGGATGGACACCGAAATGCTGAGAAGCTATTTCAGCAACGCCAGAAATGCTGCTTGGCACACACGTAGAAGCAATGCCAGGTTGCACAAGAGTGCCTGGCTCAAAATGTGCCGTCTTTCCAGACTTGCTCTGCCAGTCCAGCCAGATGGCCGCATCCGCTGGAAACCTGGGCAGGAAAACCAGGGCTGTGCACCCCGCAGCCCGGGCACTGCCGCCCCGCGTGACGCTCGGAACGGAGCCACCACACTTTGAAGTCCCTGCACGGACTTGGTTGGGTGGCAGCAGTTTGTTGAGCACGCCGGGAGGACAGTGGGGATTGCTGGTGCTGTCTGCATGCGTTGCTGGATCCCTGGGCGCAGGTATGTAGAGCTTGAGGGGTTTTTGTGGCTGGCAGGAGGCAGCTCTGGCAGCATGCACTGATCCCATCTCCCTCCAACATGGAGTTTCTGCAGTGGGTTTGCAGGAGGTCTTCAAAGCCTGTGAAAATGTGCAAGGGTTTGATAGGGAAAGACAGGTCGTGAAGATCTCTGTCAGCAGCCAGAGAAAACATCAATCCCTGCTGCTCCAGCATGTCCCCCGTTGCTCATTTTACTTGAGGACCTGCAAATCTGGGGGCTCCTTGGTCTGTAGACACCTTGAAATGCCAGCAGGTCCAGCACAGGGCCAAGGAGAGATCTGTTCTGCCACCAAGGGCTCAGCAAAGCCAGGAATGAGAGCACTACAGCTTCAGGGGAGAGCTCTGACATTTGTCTTTATTTCTTCAACCCAGGCATCAAACTTACAAGTGAAAAACCTCAACGTGCACCACAGAGCTGCCCCAGCCCAATATTGGTTTTAATGCAGAACCACACAAAATGTGAACCTCAGAATTTTTATCTTCTCCTTCCAGGAACTTTGGTTTTTACTCGTATATCCTGCAAAATTAATTCTCCTTTCTGTAATTAATATGATGCTCAAATGGATTCTTAATTACATATAAATCACAAATCTACACACTCAACAGCTATGCTTTTCAAGTAATAAAAGAGATCATTTGTCTTCCTCAGATGAACAGAGACCAGCTAGCACACCATTTCCCCTTTTATGAAGAATTCATTTGCTTTAGAAAGAAAGTCCTTTAAAAAAAAAAAAACATTGCAAGGATTTCTTGAATAGGGGATCAAAGCTCCCACACTGCTGGAAACCATTTTTGCTAAATAAGATGTGGGTAAAGGGGGAAAAAAAAAGTAAAAGTTTTTTGGTAGTGACTGGGATTACAGCACCCTCGGGAGGGACAAGGATGTGGGGTCAAGAAGTTGTGACCAGGTTAGCAACACAGGGAACAGAAGGAGGAGACAAAAGAACAGAAAGTGGAAATGGACAGATGAATGAGGGAGCATGTTTCTTTGCCGAAAGAGAATAGATGCAACATCAATTCATACTGGGAGCTAAAGGACAAGGGCCTGTTAATGGATTGGGGGACACAGCAGGGATCAGAGGTCACGAGTGCGCTCAGCCAGGCTAATTGACTGTTATGTGCATATTAGTGATGATAATTTAGTAGGATAGTGGGACGAGGGGAGCAGATATGCAGAAGTGCCACTGACAAATGCTGTCCTGTGTTACACCAGTTAAAAAAGCATATAAAAAAAAAAGAGATACTGGCCTCAGTGGGCTTTCCTCTGGAGGGGATGCCACAGCTATAGGTGACCATTCCTGACTGTGCATGCAGTGAACTAAATCACTGCAGTTTCAGAACTGCAGAACTAAATTCTGTAGTTTTTTACTTTGTTCCTACCTGTGGGGCATGGCCCCATGCCCTGACTGACATTGAAGAGAGACGTCTGACTGAACTCAGTGGGGACCCAGCCCAGCACCCTGCCAGCAGCTTTGGCTGCCCATGCTCCTATCCTGCAGTGGCTTTACACGAGCCAGATATGGGATCAGTTTTGGGGGTCAGGAGGGGTTTTGAACAGAATTATGTGGAGCCAAGACCCAGTCCAGCAAGCTCCGATGATAAGACAGGACTGTCCTGGTACATGATGCTGCTTGAAATGCTTAAACCCTGCAACAGCAGTTGGCTGAGTACCCTGTACACCCCACCCACACACCCTGCAAAACCCTTGCTGGTCATCTGCTGTCAGCGCTGACTTGGCAATTAGTGCCGAGTAATTGATAGAGTAGCACCAGGGAAGCAAAGCTAAGCCCGCTGCTGTGACAAGAGCACTTTTGCTTTGCATTCATTCAGATTGTTCTGACTTTGTATTTCACCAACTTCTCCCTTTTGCCCTTGTGCACTACATGGCCCCTCACAGCCCCAATCCTGGTGCTGGCCTCGCCATCAGGGCAGATCGACCTCATGGAGAGGCGGCTTGGTGCCAGGAGTTGGGAACGTGCTGCTGGTGCTGCTCCTGCCAGAGGGTCCCTGTCCCACCTCGGTGCAGAGCTCCTTTGCCCAGCCACAAAAGCACTTCCCAGTCGATTGATGAAGAGAGCATTTCCCGTTTCCTCACTCTTGAATCTGCTGACAGCATCTCTTGGGGAGTGATGGATACTGGAGGTGATTTATAGTTCTTTGTTACACAAATTCCTCCACATTCTTCCCCATCCTTGCACAGCAACCATTAGCCGCCTCTCCCAGCAGAAAACCAAGAGCCTCAGCCCAGGATTGGCCCTGAAGGACGCGGCTTCGTCTCTCTTCTGTGCTGGCTTTACTCGCTTTGCATGCACAGGTGGCAGTGGCTGGGCACGGACACCAACGAGGGACACAGCAGAGGTGGAGCTCTGTGCCCACCCGC